TTAAGCAAATAAATCATTCTTAAAAAAATATTTTAACAGGCCATAATCTCCATATTGTTTTCATTTATTTCGAAATTTTATTTATCGTATTTTTTTATATATATAAATACGTTTATTTATACACTGCTTTATTTAAACCGTTTCATACAGCTTAGTTACATATACTTTTCTTATCTATTCTGAAGTAGTGAATATGTGAAACTATATGTACGCTATCATGTTACACCTATTATATAAATATTTTTCATCAGAATAACCGGTGTTCAACTAGGTATAGTTTCAATCAGGGGCAGGAAGTTTTAAGAAAGAGGGTGGGGGTCGAAAGTCCACCGTTTTCGTGAAAAACCTCAATATACTCCATCAAACATATTTTAATTTTTCAACTGTCTGAAAAAATAATAAATTATAAAAATTAAATAATTAGCTATAATTAACAGAATAAATTATTAATAACCAATAATTAATGTTACGTTCTATATTAGGATTATAGGATAATAATCAATAGGGAAAAAAATCAACGTTGGGGGGCGTCAGCCCCTCTCCCTTGTGTGCACTACTGGTTTCAAAGATTTCGGTAAAAATGTTGTTATAAAATGAATTGCTTATTGAGAAGTTCTTATGCACTCATAGAAAGTTATTATTTCTCATTCGTTATTTTATCTTATAGAGATTATATCTCTTACAAAGAAAAGAAACAAATTATTTGAAGTACTTTGCATAAAATACTTTGTTATTGAGTGATTTTAGTTTTATACATGACATGTTTTCTGAGTCAGAAACAGACTTAGTCTTTAAAAAGGAACTTTATTTGAGGAATGTTAGACATCATCTGACGTTAAGAGGCAGGCAGAGAAAGAAACGAATGCCACACACCGAAAATCTTAAGTGGGTTAACACTTAAGACTCCGATCGCGGATTTCATGAGTGCACTTGAAAGTTAATGCTGACATATAGGGCTATTAAATATAACGATCTGGAATTAGACATGTTTATTGGCTAGGCCATATGTTCGGAAGAAATAAATGGGTGATTAGTTTGATACTTGAAGAGGTAATGATAAAAAATAAAAGTTAAGTGCTAGATAGGGAATTTAATTTTTAATCTAATTTAATTATCCTTACATACATTAATACAACTTTTATAGATATATGAAATCTAAATTCCAATAAATAAAACAAGAAAATAGTTGTAACAATATCAGTTTAGACGTTTTCATCATTTTATCTCATAACCCTATTATTAAAATTACTCTATGAATTTCTATACAATATATGACTATATAATAAAAACATTTTTGACGTATTTTTACGTTTTACAAAACTGCATCCCCCCAAAATATAGCTAATTGTAAATACATTAAATAATTAAACGAATATTTCACTTCGATGGCCTCACATTTTTTTTCCTTACATTTTCTTTATCTAAATTAAATAACAAAAAAGTAATATGATAAAATGAAGAGGAATTCAAAGGATTTTAGAGGGCAGTGGAATGAAGAAAAACGAGGGATAAAGTAGGATAACAGAGCTTAGGACATTCTCGACTCGTTAAAATTGAGAACACTCTTAGAGGAACAGTAGGATTTATAAAAAAAAAAAAACCCTTGCATTTTAATGGGTTTTTTACACGCGTTTATCTGTGTGAATATTTATTACGTTGAGCATTAAATCCACATAAAATATCTGTACATTAACTAAAGCACTTTGCAAAATTAATTAGAGTAATAATGCTTTGTAATGTAGAATTAAAAGGAATTATTCTAAAATTCTCCTGCAACTGAAAAAACGTATTGTTCCACTTCATATGCTTATCTTATTTTAAAAGCTTAGGAGTTTTTTTTTAATGTTTATATCTTAATTTAAGAATTCATTTTATAGTGAAACAAATAAAGATTTTTTTTTACTTCCAGTATATTATCTTATTAAGATGATATTTTATTTATTTTTAATATATATATTTCCATTATACTTCAATTTGTGTTCCTTGCTTTTCTGTAATTGCAAATGCGATTGCAATGTCTTTAGATGTCTGGTTGGAGGGTTTTACCAGAATGATAAACTCACGTTTTACCCATGTCACAAATGGCCATGAAATTGCTAGTCAGTACCACTTCGTTGGTCGAGTGACCCATTGATTGGGCTTTCGGAAAATTTCTTGCAGTCAAATGTGCTTTGAACTTTGGTGTTACACACCCTGCATTCAACTCTTACTAATTACCTTCGTACAATTAATTTTATTACAGAGTCGTAATATATTTTTGCGTTTTATACAGGTGGTAATCAAAATAACGGAAGTACTTGAGATTTATAAAGAATCTTTTATTAGTATGGCGCCATTTTGTCATGTAATACAGCTTAGATTTGCCTATAAATCGATTCATACAAGTGCTGAATAGTGGTTTGAGATGCATTTTACCATTCTTCTTGGAGATATTGTGAAAGTTCTGTGAGAGAAGAACTTAAGGATATCTATTGCGTATTGAACTATCTTAAAGAAATCACAAATACCCGATATTTTGAGGCTCGCGGGAATGCGTGGACCTATGCAAATGTTTAACTTTCTCATCGTGTTCATCAAACCTTGATTGGACTAACTCCACTACATAGATAGGTGCATTATCATCCTGGAAAATTCCATCTCTTGCAGGAAAGAAAGTTTGAATCATAGAATGAACCTGATCTGCCAAAATTTATCTATTCTTCTCTCCGGCGATCCTTCCTTTTGATGTTACGTGATTGGTCCTGCAGAAAACCAAAACATGGCTGTCCATATCATGACAGATTCTCGTCCATGCTTGACAGTTGTGAGTGTGTGTGGAAGGAGACAATCCCAATCATACGCTTGTGCAGGTGTCTTCCAAACGCGCACCCGTCCTTTTGTAAGGAAAAGTGTGAGAGACCATTCTTCAGACATTACTTTCTTCCCCTTATCAAACGAATAGGTTTTGTGTGACACTACCACAGAAGACGTTCGGTATCAACATCTGTGGCAGGTGGTTTGGGAATTGCTGCTCTTCTGTAACTGTTCTGTTTGTGAAGGTGCCTTTTCTAACAATAATTATTGATACTGAAGAATTCAGTTGCTGTTTGAGCTGTGCGGTTACTTATGCTGCAGTTGTTCGCTTTTTAGACATTACAATCTTCTTAAATACCCGTTGGTCTCTTTCAGTCAACTAGTTTACTTTTCCACGCTATGTGCATGCTGTCATGACTTAAGACTCTGTATGTTTAGAAAAATCTAACAATTACGATGTTTCAGTCACACTTGCCTGAGTTAGATGGGCTCCTACATTTTTTCCTTTTTGAAAATCAGAGGTTCCTCATTTTATGCTATTGAAAAATATTCCAAGACTTACAGAATTTTAATAAAGCTACCACATAGTAACATAATACACACCTTTCTATTTATAAAAAAAACCTGTTAGATACTATTGTATTAAATTTTTATGAAGCTCATTCGCGCGAAAATATCACTTTTATTCACAATTGTTGTCATTATTTTGATAAACACCTGTATATTTGCTTGAAGCCCGCTTTCTTTTTTTCATTTCTGCTGGTAAATATCACAATAAAATGAAAGAATCCCTCAAACGCTTTTAAACTGATTGCGAGTGCAAATTATGTAATTACTGTTTAATTAGCTGGGTTTTTTTTAGTTTCGGCGTCCACTCAGTGTGAAAGGTTAACCATGATAACATTGATTACTATTTTGGAAGCAAGGTGATTTGAAATGCCGTCCTACGAGTCTGGAGACCATTCCTTACACGCGTTAGACGACTGTCATGAAAAAGTATCTCTATTAGGTTTAGGAGTTAGTCTCTTTAATCCTATTTGTTGGTTGATGCTTGCTGTACAAGAGGTGGCTGTAAAATCGTCTCTCAAATAAGGGTTTAGCTGTATCCTGTGAATTACAGATTTCACCATGTAAATAAAGAGCTGTTACTTGAAATTAAAAATAATCTATAACTGTAAGATTGTGGCGAATATTTCATGAGCAGTCATCATTGCTCAATGCAGCAGCAGTTATGAGCTACAATTTGCCGAGTTTTAAAAGGAATTAATGATCACCTTTCCAGAAGGTAGTTTATCTTTTTGTGAAATAGCTACCAGAATGGTTTAATTACAATGACAGAGAGTCGAATGGAAGCAATAGGCTGGATATAACCTATGCAAATGAAAATCTAAGCCATGGTCAATGAAAGCTTAAATTAAAATAGAGCTAGAGTCACTACGGTAGCACTGGATCTTACATTAGTTCTGTTATTCTACATCGTACAGTTTTATCTTAACATTTGCCAAAACCTTCAAACAGCTCAATAAGTGTGGCATTGTCTTTTGTAACAATTAATTATTGTCTTCTGCACTGTGAGCTGCATACAATTATTTCTTACAATAACTATCTGCTCAATGACCTCGTTGACATAGAGACTGTCGAACTGCTCAGCAGCAAATATTCACTCTTAGCTTATTCAATCTAGATTCAATTAACTGGCAGTGATGAATACTTTCGTATGAATTCCAGCTTCCGTATCGCGTTATCTAACCTCATGCTACTCAAATGCCAAGCGAAATACTTTGAGTTGTTATTGAATATGATGGATGACTTCAGCTGTTAAAAATAAAGTTAACTGGTCGGTTTTCAGAGAGGACTGTAAAGATTTCATATTGTTTTATGGTAACAATTTCTGGAGCACAAACATATAATTTTTCCTTTATTTCATGAAGCACAAATGTGAACAATTAATTGAATTCGCATTATTTTTCAATTCCTACTATTAGTTTACACTCTCCCTAAATATACATACATATATATATATAGCTCAAATTTTCAATCCTAAATAAAATACTTCTTATTTATCCACCTAAATTCAAATACATTTCTTAAACTTGTAGGGGATGACACTTGATGTTACTGTTCTTTTAAGTATTAATTCATTAATTGATGAAAAATTAGTAACAAACAAAAATAATAGTCCAACACCATATGTAAAACGAAGAATTGCTCTTTGTGTCAGCACAATGATAAGCTCGTTGGACTTCTAATCCAAAGGTCGTGGGATCGAATCCCACCTGGAGTGGCCAAACTTTTAAAAATGTGTGATATTTCTTTTTCTTTTTTTACTATACTATTTTATTAGAATAATTAAATTCAATTTATGAATAAATAGTAACAAACAAAAAAGTAGTCCAATACCATATATAGAAAGGAAAATGGAAAATTGCAAGGGAAATCGTCTTCTATTTTGTCAATATTGTGATTCTGTCATATGTTTATACATATTTACGTTAAATGTAATTATTTACTAAAAATAACTAAAATAATTTTGTTTTGTTGACCTAAGTAGGAATTGACAATTGAATTTAAAAAAATATAGTTTCTTATATTACTTGTTTATTTATTTTTTTTTTCGTTTCAAATGGGGATTGGTAACTACCATTGCTGACCTAGTACATTTAAATTATTCTAATAAAATATTGCATGTTTTTATATTTTGAATTTATAAATTTCAATCCTCTTGTAAAAGTAAAGAGCAGTTTCATGAAACGTAAGTTTTATTGGGTGGTGATTGTATATTACTAAAATTAAGGTATCCGACTACGTTCGGAACCGTGATTTTGCAAAAGCTTATAAATGGATAATATTTATGATATTAGTGTCACTTAGATTAGAAAATGTATATAAAATTGTTTTAAGAATAGTATTATAGTAAAAAATTATTTAAGTACAACATTTTGACAAAAAATGGACATAGAATGACCCCTTTTCAAAGTATTCTTCTTTTGTGAAAAATGCTTCTGTTATAATAATATTTCGCCTGTTTATAGCTCAGATCTCTGTACAGAGGCTCAACTAGAATATTTGAAATATATAGCTTAGAAGTGGGCTTATCCATGTTTTACGACAACTGAGGGGAGATATTTTAAGAAAAAAACGCCGATAGTTATTTCAATCGGTTGTACCTCTGAAAATAATGTGATTTTTTCAAAAATCACAGTTGAGCCTCTGTACAGAGGTCTGAACTACATACATGAAAAATATTATAATACAAACATTTTTCACAAAAGGAGAACACTTTGAAAAAGAAGATTATTCTAAGTTAATTTTTGGCCGAAATATTGTATTTAAATAATTTTTTATTGTAATAATATTCTTAAAGCAATTTCTATACGTTTTCCAATCTAAGTGACACTAAATATCATAAATATTATCCATTCATGCGCCTTTTTTTTTAAATCACGGTTCCGAACGTAATAATAATACTTTAATATAATGTTTTATGAGAGGTTTGCACCAGCATTAAAAAATAATGTGTCAACGTTAAACTACTTTATATACAATAACTTTAAATTATTTTTATATACAATAATTTAATTTTTTCAATATGATAATTTAATGACATGTTGATATTAGCATAGTGCATCTCTAACTTTCAGTATTCGCGAGCCAATTTTCAGTCATTATTTTCATCACACCCCTCTTATACAGTAATGTATTGAAAGCAATAATCATGTATTTTGACTCTTAAACTGCAATACGACTTTAATTATAAACCTTACAAATTATCAAGATAGGTAGTAAATTTTATATATAATTTTATGGCATGCCCATAGGGCCACTAGTAATTATTAAACTTGCTCTTAACTTAGTACTGTTAAATTAATTATGAAACACATTGTACAGTACTGATACATTTATAAGTGTATTATATCAGTGTAAATGTGTATTTTATTTTTGTATTATGTCAGAATGTATTTTGTTACGCTTCTTACTTTCAGTAAATTAATAATTTATTTAAATAATTTTTTGTTTTTAACTTTTCGAAATACTCGCGCCCCCCTTGTAAGGTTATCACGCCACCCTAGGAGGGCGTGCCCCACAGTTTGAGAAATACTGTATTAGCATTATAGCTCACTTTTTTGAAATTCTATCACTGCGTAATTGTCACTATTAAAACTTATTTATCAATCCCCGACGTGTTGTTTCAACTTTCTTTGTATATTATATATCAGGATTTTCTCATGTGTAACTTGGATTCTAAAAATTAAAGAAATAAATCAAAATTTAAAATTTATATGACGAATTTTGTTACTTTGTTTTAATTAGAAGAAATATTATTCGCCTTCTTCAATATCTGTTTTAATTACGAAACATAAACACGGAACTAGAAGCAATAAAGCATTTGATTAAACTACAGAATGTATCTTGGGTTCTGCTAAGATTATCATAAGCTTTTTCGATATATTTCCAACAGAATCGTTTCTGTAGCTATCTTTTTTTCAATCATTTCACTTCCATTAGAGTGATTGAGCCATGTGTTATTTAACCAACGCTAAGAAATTCGATTGCAAGTCTAACCGATATCTATTTGGTAAGCACTTTGAAATTATTGAATTCAAACCTTGACCTTCTTTGGCAAAAGCCGTCTGAGAAAGTGAGACAGGCAACAACAAAAATGTGTCTACAAGATTTTGATGTTTATCTCTAGTATAATTTGAAAGTTAACTTAATTCACAAGTAGCTAAACAATTTTAAGTTTACTTGACTACGTTCGAAATCATGATTTTGCAGAAACTCCCTATATATATATATATATATATATATATATCTTGTTCAAATTTTCAATTTTCAATCGTTAGTAGAATACTTTCTATTTATCCATTCAAGTTCAAACACATTTTTTTAAACTTGTAGTGGATGACACTTGATGATAATACAGTTTTTTCACAAATTCATCAACTAAATTAAAAAATGAATAAATAGTAACAAACAAAAATAATAGTCCAACAGCATATATAGAAAGGAAAATCGATCTTTGTTTCCATGTAGCGCAATGGATAACGCGATCGACTTCTAATTCAAAGGTCGTAGGTTCAAATCCCAACTGGGATGATCTAATTTCTGACCATGTGATTTCTTTTTTACTATACTATTTTATTGGAATAATTAAATTTCATTAATGATTAAATAGTAACCAAACATAGTCCAACACGCCATATAGAAAGGAAAATAGCTTTATATTTTGTTACTTAATATTGTGATTCTGTCATATTTATATATATATATATATATGTATATTACCTTAAAATCCGGCGTATAACGCGCACTTTTAACACAAAAAATAAAATTAGAATGTACTGGAGCGCGTTAAACGCCGGGTATGAAAATGACAGCTTTAAAAATACAAATAAAAGATGATTATACAAAATATTAGGCTTCTACATAGATCGAAATACTGTTTATTTAAAAGAAATGACATGCCTTATCAACTTAAAGAGTCGAAGTTCTAGAAGTGTGCTATTTTTTTCAAGTGATTGAGTGAGTGAATATCAACTTCGGCGTCGCATTGTTCAGCTACACGAGGGCTTTACTATTTTTTCAACAACCTTAGATAATAGTTTTAATAAATGACTTAAAATATAAGATAATTGCTTACGAATATTTTAACTTTCTTCATAAAAAAAATGGTTTGCGCGTCATAGGGTGAATATACCCTAAAATAAAAAATAAAAAATGCAGCTCAAAAGTATAGGTGCGCGCTATACCCCGGATTTTACGGAAATTGTAACTATTAAATAAAAAGTAACTTAAAATTTTTCTTTTGTTGACCTAAGTAGGAATTGAATAAATTTTATTTTTTAATAATTTAATAATAATTATTAATTTAATTTATTTATGTTTAAATAAATTAATTTAAATTTTATTTTTTATTTTGTTTTTCCATATTTAATGTCTTTTGAATCAAAACATATATAAAAATGTTTTAAAAATATTGTTACAATAGAAAAATTATTTAAATGCAATATTTTGGCAAAAAAAAGTGAAGAGAAAATTACCAGTTTTCCAAACATTATCCTTTTATAGACAATTGCTAGTAAAATAATAATATTTTCTTTGTGTATATCTAAGACCTCTCTACAGAGCCTTTACTAGGAGTTTTGAAAATTTCACATTAGTTTCAGAGTTAGTATTAATTGAAATAAGAACAAGTTCTTTTTATAAAAGTTTTTCTATTCTGATCTATTAATATATGAATAAATCGACTTCTAACGTATGTATTTAAAAAGTCTTCACACTCAGACCCTATATAGATGTTCTAGGTATAATATCTGGCCAAATATTTGTTATAAAGACATTTTTCATAGTAAAAGAATGTTTTAAAAAAAAATGTCACTTTTTTTAAACTTTTTGCTAAGAAATTGCATTTACATATTTGTTTTTATTGTAATAATATTCTTAAAACAATTTTATATTTATATTCTAATTAAAATAACACTATCTATTAAAAAATAATTTATTTTTACGCTTTTGCAAAATTATGATTCCGAATGAACCTTAAAACTAAATTAGTTATGAAATTCGATTGTCAAAAACTAATGATTTAATTATAGAGCATGATGTAATTAGTAAAAAGTATATCTTTTTTTTTATAAAAAAAGGATGAATTTCAAATGTAATTTTATCGTTTAATTGTAAACATCTTTCTCGTATTTCGGGAACAATTATTAAAGAAAATATAATCAATTTCATTACGTAATTATTTATAAGTAGGTCACAAATAAGAATTGTTTTGACTGAAATTAAATTTTTTTTTTATAAATATATAAAAATGTATTTTGTACCTATTTGGTAATGAGGCATTCTTCAGCTAAAATTCCAATAAAAGCTTTAAAAAAAGAAGAAGAAAAGACAATTAAGACGCACCCACACAAGCAAAATCAAGACAGAAGCAAGATATTGCAAAATCTTAATTAAATTTTCATTGCTTTTATAAAATAAGTTTATGTAATATTTATATATGTAATTTAAAAATGATTGATTATAAGTCTTTTGCATCTTATTCGAATTACCATTTTAAATGCTGGTAACAATCAAATTTAATTTTAAAAAAGTTCTCTCGTAAGAAAAAATTAAAACCTTAAGAAAATTTAAAATAATTATTATGACAAAAGCCCACTTATGAAGAAAAAAAATTCCCGCTTCTTTATGATTTTTAAAAGCATTTCTTATTTACTCATTTTACAAATGATCCACTGAACAAAATGCGTGATAAGTGTTTCAAAATTGCCTCAATATCGC